CTAATTTTGTTACTGCTGAATGATGTCAGAGTCAAAGTGGGATTTTGGGAAGTGAAACTACATTGACAAATATAGAAGATTTTGAAAGATGATCAGGTGCAATAGATTAATAGTTTAAAGAATCAGGCTTTTTCCATCTTATGTTGTTGTTGTTGTTGTTAAGTGCCGTCGAGTCGGTTCCGACCCATAGCGACCCTGTACAGGGTTCCATCTTATAGGGAAAGGTAATTAGATATTTGAATGTATTGATCACTTGGTTCTTTAGGGAAAGTAGAAGCTTGAATAAGATAAAAGTTTATCTCTTTTAACATATAACTCTAAATGACATAGGCTCTGTTGTATATATTTTCATTATGGTAAATTTTAGAACACCTATTTTAAGTGGAAGACTTCTTGCTTGCTTATATTACATTACTGTTTTCAGTTGTGAAAACCTTATGGAAGAACATAAAACATGAGATGTCTCAAACTAAAAAAGAAAATGTTCAAAATTGGAAATCCAGAGTCTTTCCGGGTATCCACATAACTGACCTCAGATTCCCTCCTCCTCCAGTGCATAGGAGGACTGACGGTCCTCTTATCTCCTCTTCCCATAGGACTCCCAGTCTCCTCTTATTCCTACCCATACTTTCCACTCGTCTTTGAAATCCCCCAGTTCTTTAAGGTTCAGTCAGATGTTTTCTTTTCTGTTGTACTTATTTTGATTTCCCTGTTGGCTGCAAATACGCACCTCTGTTGAGTTCTCATGACATTAAATGTTCTCTGTATGGTTAATTTTATAATGTGCCTTATCTCTCAAAACAGGAGCTGTATTTTTTCAGGGTTTTCTGTCTTCCTAAGTATCTTAAATTTTTTTGTGGTAAAACATGTAGCAAAAATATTGCCATTTTAAGTATTTTAAAATATGCAATTCATTGATATTAATTCCATTCACCATACTGTGCAGCCATCATCACTGTTTCCAAAAGTTATCATTACTTCAAACAGAAACTCAGTTCCCTTTAAGCAATCACTCCCTTACTCTCTCCTTAATCTCTGGTAAGCACAGATTAATTTTTGTCTCTATGTACTCCCCTATTCTATATATTGCATATAATATTTGTCCTTTTGTATCATACTTCTTTCCCTTATCGGTTGTCACTCATCTCTTGATGGATTCTGGGTTTATTTCTACCTTTTGGCTGTTGTGAATAGCTCAGAGTTTTGATTTAGTTATTACTTAAATCAGTACTTTACAGAAGCAGCCCTGATAAAAAGTAAGTTGTTTTATTTGATTGATGAACAGTCTTAATCTGGTTCCTTTCTACTTCATTCTCTCCACTACCATGTTAATGTGTATTGGATATTTGCTTGAGTCATTCCTGACAGCTGACTTTTTAATTTTTGTCTTTCAGTCTTACCTCCAGTATTAGTGCCGCGTCATAATGAATTCAATCCACAACATAGCCTTCTGGTTCAGTTTAGGAATCTGAGCCACAATGAACCGCACATGCCACAAAATGCCACGTTTCCAGATTCTTTCCATCAGCCCAACAACACTCCATTTCCATTATCACCAAACAGCCCTTACCCTCCTTCCCCTGCGAGCAGCACATATCCCAACTCCCCTGCAAGTTCTGGACCAGGAAGTCCATTTCAGCTCCCAGGTAAGAGTTTTATTTTATGGCACACACAAAAAAATTATCATTGAGATTTAACAGTCATCCTTACTGCAGGTTCTCTAGTGAAGTGTTCTATGCAAAGAACCATTTCTACCACTGTTTTTGTTAGTGTAGATTTTATTTTGCTAAATACCATTTGCTTGTGCTAATGTTTTAAAAATGGTACTAGCCATATTTCACTTAAAACTTAAATGTTTTTATATAATTTAAAATACTAGGTCGCACAAATAGTTAAGCTGGCGACCACTAGGTGGATGGTTAGTGGTTTGAATTCACTCCGTAGACATCTTGGAAAATAAGCCTGTCAGTCTGCTTGCCAAAAATCACAATCTTGAAGCCCCGTTAAGAAGTTTTAATCTGCACATCGGAATTGACTCTGTGGCAGACTACAACAATAATTCTGTCATCTGTTGAGTGTTTGTTGTGTAACTGATACTGTGATGAAAGCTATTATTGCATGAAAAACAGTACTCAGGACAACTATGTGAGAAGATAGAGTTCTTGTTTTACAGATGGAAAAACAAATTGATACCCTGAGAGTATGAAGTACTTTCCCTAAAGTCTCACAGCTAATTTACGAGTTCAGTCCCACGTTTGTTTGACTCTAAAGTCTCTGCTCTTTCAACTTTATTACATTGCTTTTCAAGTCAGTTTAGACTTTGAAAGTTTAAAATGATCCTTTGTTATCTTTAATTAGATGAATTAGTGAATTGGTTTTCTGGAAGGTTAAGTTAATAAGTAGATTTCACAAAGTTTCTCAATATTGTTAGTGATGTATTGTGTATAGACACATCATTATGCAATCTATCAAATACTGAACACGTATGGTCAGACACAGTCATACATATTGTCTTTGTGGTTTCTCCACTGCAGCAACATATTTATTGATGTAATTGTGTTTTTTTTCACCCTTTTTAAGGGGAATTAAATGGCAACTATTTCACTTACACAAACGGATTTTATAGTTGGTTCTAGATTCAGTGAAGATTATGATCCGGTCTCAAAACACATCCTGCTTACACTTTGGAATGACAGACAAACTATATTCAGTGTATTGTAGTTACTGAAACAAAGGTCTATAGTGTGGCTTTTGTAAAAATTTTCAACAAGTGTTTGAACTCAAAGTTTTTTTGATTAATGTGGTTTCTAAGAGAATTGCTGTAATAAATACACAACTCTGAAAGAATTGCACAAGTGCTATTAGCATTGATTTTAAACATAAAGAACCATGGTTTTTTTTTTCCAGTTTTAAATAACAATATACATTGCTTGATTATGTTGATTATTTAAGTGTCCCTGTAAATATATATCCAACAAGAATTATCTGTGCCCTTCAATTGGATTAGCAGAATTACCTGTTTCTTCAAGCATAAGATTCTAAACAAATAAGGGCAAAATTCTTAACCTTGACTTCTACTTTTAGCTCTGATCTTAGCACAGTTAAATAAATGTTGGCTTGTAGTAAGTTTTTAGTAAATATTCTATGTTTTTTTTTACCTCGTTTACCTAGTATCTTATCCTACATTTTTATGTGTGTGATTAATGTTCAGTAATGAGCCCTGCTGATAATCTTATTACTTTTTAAATGTTTTTAGAGTCATAACTATGAGCAGAATGGAAATTTTACTATCTTTTTGGGACTCCAACTTGTTTCATTTTCTTCCTTATAGCTGATACTCCTCCTCCTGCCTATATGCCACCTGATGATCAAATGGGTCAAGAGAATTCCCAGCCTATGGATGTAAGCAATACTATGATTCCTCAGACTATGCCCAGTATATCCAGCAGAGGTAAAGTACTCATCACATTTAGTGTGTTGTTATTCTTCTTCTCTCAAACTTCTTTACTACTTTTTTTAAATGGCGTTTTTGAAATACATAAAATTTCCATTTTAAGTGTACAGTTATGATTATTTTTAGTAAATTTATATAAAGGTTTGCACTATCACAATTATTTATAGCGTTGTCTTTTCTGAATAGTTCATATAAATAGAATCTTATGCTGCGTACTCTTCTGCAGATGACTTTTACTTAGCATAATCTTCGCAAGGTTCATGCTTATGGTATGTGTCAGTAGTTCCTTTTTGTTGCTGAATAACACAATGTATGTTGTTACTTAACATTTTCACCAGTTGATGTGAATATGAACTTTCTAATGTTTGACTATATTGAATAATGCTGTTACAAACACTTGTGTACAGGTCTTGTGTGGAAGTCTTGCATAGATAGCTATGAGTGGAACTGCAGAGTGGAACTGCAGAGTCATATTCATGAGTTTATGTTTTAAGAAAAATTACCAACTGTTTTCCACAGTGGCTGCAGCATTTTACATTCTTGTCAGAAATGACTGTGGGTTCCAGTTTCTCCACATCCTCCTAACACTTGTTATTGTCTGTCATTTATTATGACCATTTTATTGGCTGCAAACTCCTGTGCCATTGTGGTTTTGATTTATATTTCTCGAACGAATAATGTCCTGTTGTGCTATAGGATAAGTACCAGTCTACTAACCGCAAGGTTGGTGGTTCAAACCTACACTCCTAGGAAACTCTGTATAGGGTTGCTATAAGTCAGAACGGACTCCACTGCAGTTAACAGCAGTGAGTGTTGAGCATCTTTTTATGTGCCAATTAAACTTGCATATATCTTCTTTGGGGAAATGTCTATTTAAACCTTTGCATTTTTTTTAATAGTTTATTTTTCTTTTTGATACTATGCATGGCAGAACATACACCCGTTAAACAATTTTTACATCTGGATTTTTATATTCTTATTAGTATTAAGAGTTCTTTTTATATATTATGGAGAAATCTATTGCCATCAAATTACTGACCTATATGTTACCGGGTAGAACTGCTCCATAGGGTTTTCTTGACTGTAATCTCTACGTAAACAAATCACCAAACCTTTCTTCCACAGTGTAGCCAGGTGAGTTTGAACCTCCATCCTTTAGGCTCATTGTTGTTGTGTACCAGTGAGTTTATTCTGACTCATAGTGATACTATAGGTCAGAGTAGAACTGCCCCTAGACTGTTATCTTTACAGGAGCCAGTCACCACATCTTTTCTTCTTTAAAGTTGCTGGTGGATTCAAAACAGAGCTTTGAATTACTTCATAGAAATTCAGTCATGGCTGATAAGGCTAGTGCAGACATTGCATAGCAGCCAAATGTCTTGCATGATGAATCTTGACCTGTTTAGGAAACAAACAGTGGCATGAAGATAGCAGCTGACCATGTTACCTTGAATATGTGTCATGACCACTCCTTTGAGTGGGAACCACAGCCTGTTTCCTATGCAGGTCAAAATCCTGTGCAGAAGAGATTTGGTTGCTATGCAACCTGTACGTGCTCTTATTTTCCTTAGCTATTGCTCTCCAATGTAGATATGCTAAAGCAAATGGAATTATTGATGAGGTGCAAGAGCTGAACATAAAATTTCAAAGCTCAGCTCGAGAAGCTAAAGCCAAATATTACAACAAAATATGCAAAGATCTGGAATCAGAAAACCAGAAAGGAAGAACACGCTCAGCATTTCTTAAGCTGGGGGAACTGAAGAAAAAACTCAAGCCTCGACTTTCGTTATTGAAAGATTCTCTGGGCAGATTATTGAATCATGCAGAAACCATCAAGAGAAGATGGAAGGAATACACAGAGTCACAGTACCAAAAGGAAATGGTTGATGTTCAACCATTTCAAGAGGTAGCATATGATCAAGGGCCAGTGATACTGAAGGAAGAAGTCCATGGTGCACTGAAGGAATTGGCAAAGAACAAGGCACCAGGAATTGAAATCTTTCAAGAAAGTGTGGCAGCACAGGAGGCACTTACTCATCTCTGCCAAGAAATTTGGAAGACAACTATCTGGCCGACTGATTGGAAGAGATCCATATTTGTACCCATTCTAAAGAAAGATGACCCAATGGAATGTGAAAATCATCAGACAATCTCATTGATGTCCCATGCGAGTAAAATTTTACTAAAGGTAATACAGAAATGGCTGGAAGCATACATTGACAGAGAACTTCCTGTTCAGAAGAGTCCGTGGAATGAAGGATATCATTGCTGACGTCTGATGGATCTTGGCTAAAAGCAGAGAATATCAGAAAGATGTTTACCTGTGCTTTATTGACTATGCAAATGCTTTCAGTTGTGTGGATCATGACAAGCTATGGACAACATTGTGAAGTATGAGTATTCCGGAACACTAAATTGTGCTCATGAGGAATCTGTACATGGACTAAGAAGCAGTTGTTTGAACAGCACATGGGAAAACTGAATGGTTTAAAATTAAGTAAGGTGTGCAACAAGGTTGTGTTCTTTCAGCATACTTATTCAACCTGTATGCTGAACAAATAATCCAAGAAGCTGGGTTCTATGAAGTAAAACGTGGCATCGGGATTGCAGGAAGACTCATTAACAACCTGCGAAATGCAGATGATACAACCTTGCTTGCTGAAAGTGAAGAAAAAGTAAAAGTAAAGCGCAGAAAAAGTAAAAGTGAAGAAAGTAAAGTGAAAGTAAAACATTTACTGATGAAGATCAAAGAGCACAGCCTTCAGTATGGATTACGTCTCAATGTAAGAAAACAAAAATCCTCACCACTGGACCAATAAACAACATTCTTACCAATGGAGAAAAGATCGATGTTGTCAAGGATGTCAGTCTTTGATAAACTATCAACACTCATGGAAGCAGCAGTCAAGAAATCAAACGATGTATTGCATTAGGCAAATCTGCTACACAAGAACTTTTTAAAGTGTTGAATAGCAAAGACGTCAGCTTGAGGACTAAGGTGCGCCTGTCCCAACCATGGTATTTTCAATAACCTCATATACATGTGAAAGCTGGACTGTGAATAAGGAAGACCATGGAAGACTTGATGCCGTTGTGTTATGGTGTTGGAGGAGAATGTTTAAAGTGCCATGGGCTGCCAAAAGAACCAATAGATCCATTTTGGAAGAAGTGTAGCCAGAGTGCTCCTTAGTTTTAGATTCTTGGCTAAACTTTGTCTCTCATACTTTGGACATATTGTCAGGAGGCACCAGTCGCTGAAGAAGGATATCATGTTTGGTAAAGTGGAGGGTCAGAGAAAACGAGGAAGACCCCCAATGAGATGGATTGGCCAGGTGGTGGCGTTGATGGACTCAAGCGAGGTTGGCCCAGGATTGGGCAGCGTTTTGGTCTGCTGTGCATAGGGGCGTTATGAGTTGGTGTCGACTCGATGGCACTTAACAACAACACCAACATGACTGAACCAGTTTGAAGCGGCTCAAAGCTGTGGTTGGAACTACCTGTGTGCTGTTAGAAGCCAAGTGCTTAACCTTTCATGTGTCATCAAGACTCATTTTTAGTTTGGTAGTGTAGTGGTTACGAATTGGGCTGCGAACCTTAAGGCCAGCAGTTCGAAATTACTAGCGGCTCCGCAGGAGAAAGATGAGGCGTTCTGCTCCCGTAAAGATTTACAGCCTCGGAAACCCTGTACAGGGTCGCTATGGGTCGGAACCGGCTCCACAGCACTTAACAACAACAACAACAAGTCAAGTACAACTGGTTGTGCCACCATGATTTGTAAATCTTTTCTCTCATGCTATGGTTTATCATTTCATTGTCTCTGTGTGAACTTTGAAATACAAAGTTTATGTTGGTGAAGTCTAATTTGTCTTTTTCACCCAAGGTCATGAAAATGTGTTATTTTCTAGAAGTTCTTTAGCTTAAGCTCATATCTTTTGGTTTGTAACATTTTGAGTTAATTTTATTATATGTATAAGGGTGTACTATTTTTGTATGTATATATCCAGTTGATTCCACCATTTGTTGAAAAGTGTATAATTTTATTGAATTGCCTTGACAACCTTGTCAGAAAACAGTTGACCATAAATATAGGGCTTTGTTTTAGGAGTACCGAGTTTGTTCCACTAATCTTTATATCTGTTCTTATATTATTATACTCTTGATTACTAAAACTTTTTAGACAGTTGTGAAAATGGAAAAAGTGTTAGTCCTCAAACTTTTATTTTTTTCAAAACTGTTTGCTTATTCTGTATCCTTTGCATTTTCATGTAATCTTACCATTAGCTTCTTAGTTTTTGCAAAAAAGTAAAACAAAAACCCTGTTTGGATTTTGATGGAGATTACATTGCGTTTTGCAAAAATTGTGTGAAAACCATACCTGGCTTCCTCTGGCTTAACCAAACTAGCAGAAGGCCTTTTCCTATGAAACTAAAGTCAGATATACCTTTACCCTACAACATTCTTTTCCCTATTCTGACACCAGCTCCCACAGCACTCTGCATCTTATCTAGGATTGATAATCCATTGCATTGGCCACATAGAAGTTAATAGACAGTATTCACAATTATGGGGTCTATTGGGGGAAGTGAACAGGGTCAAGCTACAGCAGTTCTCCAGTCAAGAACAACTCTTCTTTGCTGTACTGTTCGAATGCTTCACTCTTGTCTTTGATCTCTCAGCCATGTTGGCCCCCTCAGCTTCTGCCCTGCTTGGGTAAGTGTTACAAAGCTCCTTTAGCCAGTCTGTAAATGCTCAAAGGGCACAGTCTGCAAGCCAGCCTCATGCATTTAGGTACTCAGCTTTACTCAACCCATGAGTCAGGAAGCCTGCAGAAGCTCTGTCTGTCCACTGCCACCCCCTCTGCACTTTACCATGCTGCTTCGCTTGTCCACATAGGGATCACATTGTACTCATGGCTCTTCTTTCATGATGGTCCTGGAATCATCTGTTTCTACTCTGAATTGCCTCCTCTTAAACTTAGTGGGACACCAACCCTGGTG